TCAAAATGGGAGGAAGATCTCTTGCAGCATTTTACAAATACTTGTCCAGCCTGTTTTGCTCACAAATAACATTTTGGCAAGGTTTCTTCACACTCCTACTCACACTTACATTTGTGATTTTGGGCTAAAGCTGCATCTTGGGTAAAAACAAAGGTGGAATTTTGTCAAGGAAGTATTGACAAATACAAAAACTGGGGAAGCTCCAGTAGACAGGGCCTACCAGGGGAAGCCCCAGGAGACTGGGCCTCCCCTTGTAGGCTTAGTCTAACCTGGGAAAGCCTGCGTCGGGGTGGGGAAGGCCTGGGAGGCCTCCGAAGGTGGCAATCGCAGCGGCGGGGGACCCCCGGGAGGTCTCAGAAGGCAGCTGGCGGCAGACCCCCGGGAGGTCTCCGATGGTGGCAATTGCGGTGGCAGGGGACCCCCGGGAGGTCTCCAATGGTGGCAATTGTGGCGGCAGGGGACCCCCGGGAGGTCTCAGAAGGCAGCGATATTGGCAGCCGGTTCTCTGAAGGCAGCGATTGCAGTGGCAGGGGACCCCCGGTAGGTCTCCGATGGTGGTGGAGGACCCCCAGGAGGTCTCTGAAGGTGGCAAATGCGGCAGCGGGGGACCCCTGAAAGGCTGAGCCTTCCTTTTTCTAACCATTGGGGCAAAAGCCTCTTTGCCACCAATGGTTAGCAAATTTAATTTTTCCGCCCTTTCCCCTTGCCTTTCTTCAAGTTTGTATTTTGAAGCTCCGTTCGCAAGTAGAAGAAAAATTTTGTGAACAGAGCTGTTCGTAAGTTAAATTGTTCATAGGTAGGGACATTCATAAGTAGAGGTTCCACTGTATTACATATGTACAGTCTTTAGAAATACTCCAACAGCATGTCCTCTAGCAAATCTCCACACTGTATGTGTGCTCCTCTGTACAATATATAGTACATATGACCAATCAGGTAACATTACCTTGTCTCAGGTGATCTCATATGAATTGCATCAGCCTTCTGCCTAGCAAGCATAACTCAGCTTTATGTGCAGCTGCACAATATGGCTGATTAACTATTCCTTTACACATTGAGTCTAAGATGGCAATTTCTCCTACTACAATCCTTGTAATTTTCCAACAAATTTGCAGTAACTACAAACAAAGCCTTTGACTGTGTGGACCACAGCAAACTATGGCAAGTCCTTAAAGAAATGGGAGTGCCTGATCACCGTATCCGTCTCCTGAGAAACCTATACGTGGGACAGGAAGCAACAGTTAGAACTGGATATAGAACAACTGATTGGTTCAAAATTGGAAAAGGAGTACGATAAGGCTGTATATTGTCTCCCTGCTTATTTAACTTATATGCAGAATACATCATGTGAAAGGCAGGACTGGATGAATCCCAAACCGGAATTAAGATTGCCGGAAGAAATATCAATAACCTGAGATATGCAGATGATACCACTCTGACGGCAGAAAGTGAGGAGGAATTAAAGAACCTCTTAATGAGGGTGAAAGAGGAGAGCACCAAAAATGGTCTGAAGTTCAACATCAAAAAAACTAACATCATGGCCACTGGCCCCATCACCTCCTGGCAAATAGAAGGGGAAAATATGGAGGCAGGGACAGATTACACTTTCTTCGGCTCCATGATCACTGGATGGTGACAGCAGCCACAACATTAAAAGACCCCTGCCTCTTGGGAGGAAAGCAATGACAAGCCTCGACAGCATCTTAAAAAGCAGAGACATCACCTTGCTAACAAAGGTCCACATAGTCAAAGCTATGGTTTTTCCTGTAGTGATATACGGAAGTGAGAGCTGGACCATAAAGAAAGATGACCACTGAAGAATTGATGGTTTTGAATCATGGTGCTGGAGGAGACTCTTGAGAGTCCCCTGGACTGCAAAGAGAACAAACCTATCCATTTTGAAGGAAATCAACCCTGAGTGCTCACTGGAAGGACAGATCCTGAAGCTGAGGCTCCAATACTTTGGCCGTCTCATGAGAAGAGAAGACTCCCTGGAAAAGCCCCTGATGTTGGGAAAGTGTGAAGGCAGGAGGAGAAGGGGACGACAGAGGACGAGATGGTTGGACAGTGTCATTGAAGCTACCAACATGAATTTGACCGAACTCCGGGAGGCAGTGGAAGACAGGAGGGCCTAGTGTGGTCTGGTCCATGGGGTCATGAAGAGTCGGACACAACTAAACAGCAACAACTGTTTCTGCACATGATACAAGTCCTACCAAGGTTTTAAAATGGCACCAATCCATATTTTAAAGCTTCATTAGGATTTCCATTACTGGCTGGAAAGTGCTGTGAGGCTTCCACCTAGTGACAGTGCTGTGAGTCAGACACATGGCAAAAACAGAGCTGTTGGAACTTCCCCCTGGGTAAAGACAGCATCACGACCTGACCGATGCTGGGAAGCTGCCCAGGTATGCTGGCACTGGCTGGCAAGTGCTGCCTTTGTCTGGGAGGGGAAGATCCAGCAGTTCCCTTTCTACCACATGTGAAGCCGGTGAGCTGCTGACCCAGGCACTGACAATAGGTAGGAAGCCTTACCACAGGGCCAAGCAGCTGCACCTACACATCCTGCTTTAATGCGAGGAGTTGCATTAAGACACCATGTATGTTACAAGTGGGTTTCTGCCTCTTTGCAGCTAACCTGTACAGTGGACCCTCTACTTAAGGAATTAATCCGTATTGGAATGGTGGCTGCAGGTCAAAAAGTCTGTAGGTTGAGTCTCCATTGACCTACAATGCATTAAAAACCGATTAATCCCGTAACAGGCCGTTTTTGTTCCGTTTTGGTTTTTTTCTGGTCTGTAGGTTGATTCTCTGGCTGCAAGTCAAACCTAAATTTTGCAGCCAGAGAAGTCTGTAACTCAAAAAGTCTGCAAGTCGAGCTGTCTGTAAGTCGAGGGTCCACTGTAGTAAAAAAGTTCACTGGAGGCTTGCAGTGATTTGCAGTACATTTTTCATTCTCAAATATATACAAGTTGAGCAAACATGGAAGCTCACAGCATGAAGATTTCACAGGTGTGTTTTTGTGGGGACATGCGAAAGAGCTTTCTCTGTTGCTACTCCCAGCCTCTGGAACCCTCTCCCACTGGAGGCCAGACTGGCCCCACTTTTACTGTCCTTCCACAAGCAGGCAAACACCTCTTTTCTTCAGGCAAGCTTTCCCTGAATGAATTGCTGCCAAGTGGGGTTTTTTTAATGGATTGTTGTACCTTACTGCATTAAATGCATTTTGGGGTTGATTACTCTCTTTTTTTGTTGTTGATTCTGTATTCATTGATCCTTTTGTTATTGTGTACTCATTGTTAACTGGAGGCTTGCAGTGATTTGCAGTACATTTTTCATTCTCAAATATATACAAGTTGAGCAAACATGGAAGCTCACAGCATGAAGATTTCACAGGTGTGTTTTTGTGGGGACATGCGAAAGAGCTTTCTCTGTTGCTACTCCCAGTCTATGGAACCCTCTCCCACTGGAGGCCAGACTGGCCCCACTTTTACTGTCCTTCCACAAGCAGGCAAACACCTCTTTTCTTCAGGCAAGCTTTCCCTGAATGAATCGCTGCCAAGTGGGGGTTTTTTTTTTAAATGGATTGTTGTACCTTACTGCATTAAATGCATTTTGGGATTGATTACTCTCTTTTTTTGTTGTTGATTCTGTATTCATTGATCCTTTTGTTATTGTGTACTCATTGTTATTAACTTAAATCTTTTGTTGTAAGCTGCCTGTAGTGTTCTCCATTTATTTGATCTGTGGTTGTTTGTTATGTAATGGCTTATGAATATTCATATTGCTGAAAGGCGGAGCCGGAAGAGATGCTATAAGAGGCAGAGCCTGAGTCAACTAAGGCAGTTCAAGTCAGTGTGTGTAGATTAGGTGAGATTGAATAATTTAGAGAAATGTAAGAGTCAGGCAGGAGAGAAAAGCCAGACAGAGTAATAGTGTGTGTAGTTTGGGAAATTTAGGAGTGATTAGCTACTGAAGATATTTATGAATCTCTGTAATCAATAAACTAAAGATTTATTTAAAAGGACTTGAAGTGTGGACCTGAATCTTTCTGAAGTAATGGTGATTTAGAGATCACCTGGTGGCAGCAAGTGTCAAAGGAGAGAGTGTCTGCCTTCGTGTGCTCTGGGGGCTTGAAGGTCAAGCAAAGAGGCACGAGGGTGGACACCACACTGACTTAGGTCCTTTTTAAGGACAAAGGCAAATTCAGAAACACACAAGTAGTGTAAGCAAGGTGGGATGGGGAGATGGAAAGTCGGCAGTGAACGTGGAAAATCACCTGCCCATCATCTCTACCTTCCTCGGACACCTTAATTTCACATTCAGACACATCATCAGAATAATTATATCAGGCAAAAACGGGGAGGGTGAGGAATAAAGCACAATCAATCTATTCAAAATTTGATAAACTTTCATTTTCCAGGTTGTATACAGCAGTGAATGAACAAAACAACTTAAAAATGCACAGGTCATCTGTTTAATATATTCATTTAATGAAAAAAAATTCTATGTAAAACAAATCTATTTTCAAAGTATAATGTACACTAACACAGAGGGCCTATGAAACAAGTAATTTTTCATAGGTAACAGTTTACATCCCAAAGAGCTTATGACTCTGATGTTTGCACAAAATAAAAATACAATTATTTTATAACAAAAAATACCTAGGTAATTAGATGATCAACAGTGATCAAAGTGCTTAGCTTTTAAAAATCCTTTCATTGTTTAAAAGCAAAACTCATTTCCTGAACTCTTTTTTTTGTTTTTTGTTTTTGGTATTTTCTTCCCTTGAGGTTCTGTTTCATACCTCCAAATTGATATTACAAGGCTGCTTATCAGAGAAACATTTTTCCCCACAGTAGTATTATGTGCTGCCAAATTTTTACTTGGCAGCCATAGTTGTGCCTTTACCTCAGAGCTCTGTAATTTATTATTAAAAAATGAATACAAGGACATGCTGAAGCCATCCGGAACTGACCCGGAGTATCATCCTACTGCTGTTTAGTTACGGATGGTTTCAGCCTGCCATACACATCCATTCTTCCCAAAAGTAACTGTCTGAGCTCTGCTTGATATGCATACTTTATCAGGAAAGTGACAACGGTTATTTCCATGCTGTGAAAAACTTTGCCGGCTGACTTCTGTAGCTCAAGCTGTAGTGAAATGCACAACAACAAACCAGACTTGGTTTGGGATTTCTTTACACACACACACACACACTCGGTCACTGCACAGTTTTAGCTATTGGCTCTTACCAAAGATTTTTATCCTCATAACAAATACCCAACTAACAGACCTCATTTTTCTGTCAGATTTCAACCCAGCTGGGGGAATCTTTACAACCCAAATTTGCATGACGCCGATGGAATTACTTTTCATTAAAAAAAAGGCAAGACTGCCAAGCATCTTCCAGATCTTGGTTGCTTTGGCTGGAGCCTTAATAATAATAATAATAAAAATAATGGGCCATCAAGACAATTATGACTTATGGCAACACTTTTCAGGGTTTTATTCTGGGAGCAGCTCTAGGACTGTGCAGCCTGCCCAAGGCCACACAGGCTGGCTCTGCCCACAGGAGGCACCATGAGGTATCCAACTCCCAACCTCTTGCTCTACAGCCAAATATCTAAACTACTGAGCTATCCAGCCAGCAGAGGCCTTATATAATTATAATTTTTTGTCTCGGCTATATATAAAACTATAAATTGACTTCTTAATATTTCCTGAGATTAAAAAAGATGCTGCTGGACTGAAGATGATGTGACAGATCTCAAATGAGTCGTGGCAGGGAGAGAAACCCAAACATCTCCCAGAACTAGCACGTGCGTGTAAGATTCTGCACCACACCTTTTATTTCAGCTCTAAGATGACATGGTGGGAAGACATTCTCTAACAGTGGACTAAAAGGTTTATTGCAAAAAATTACTTTTTCTCCAAGGATACAACTGCAATAAACCTACCATTAAGTGAGACTACATTTAGACAGTAGTAATATCAGCTGGCATGGGGTTTAAGCACCACAGGTGAATCAGCATAGTTCTCTTGCCGATTTTAGGTATAAGGTTGGCTAGTTCTGTGCACCTCTCACTGGAAAAGAGTTTCAGGTATCACTTAGGAATAAAACTCATAAACTCTAGAGCTTTCTTCTGAGTAAACATGCACAGGATTACACTGTTGGAAACAAATTATAACAACGATCCAATAGATCATGAGTGCACAGTATGATAATGTGTCAGTAGATCATGGGTATATATACATCAATGGTGACTGGTCTAAGGACCGTAAATAAACTCTTATTATTATTATACACCAATGGCTGCTACAGAAGGGAAAATTTAGAGGAAATCAGATACCCACTGTTTGGTCTTTAAAAATTGCAGTATATCCTATGTCCTATGCATGAACACTTCCTTCTGTTTTTATATAAGAAACACTGGGGTTCACATAGTGCTTATAATTCTCACAAGATAAGCCTGGTCATTTGAAGCTTCATTATACATCCACTACCATAGCATTTCTTGCTCGTTTTGCTTAAAGTGCTTGCGTTGCCAATGCTGTTTTCCCATTCATTTTGGCAAAAATAACTCTTCAGAGTCGTTGGTGAGGTATAAGTTCCAGCTCTCATATTTGGACACTGAGCGATACTTTTGTAGTATAGCAAGGAACCGTTTCTGTTAAGACAAAATAGAAATATGCCATGTTTGTTGTCAAATCATTCAATAATCATGATTCATTGAAGATAAATGGGCAAGTATTAAAAGCATATTTCCAATTATCCTCAAAACCTGAAAACATGAAGGCCATTATTGCACATTGTAGAAACACAGGCAATTTTAAAGAGCTGAATAGGTAGAGGGGGAAATTCCATTCATTGTTGACAAATAGAAAATTAGTATGCAAGAAACTAGTCCTTATGCAACAAAATATTCAGGGAGGATTTATTAGCCTGTCAGGATGCTGGTGTTCAGAATTATCAACAAAAGAACATTTTTAAAGTGAATGCAGTGTTATTTAATTGCTCTCCACACAGCTCCCCTACTGGCTTGGCTATTTTATTCTCCACTTCCACATCTCCATATCTCCATCCCCCTATCCCTCTCTCTCTCACACACACATACACACAAACTTTGCCTTTCCTAATGACAGGGAAGAGGCAGCTGAAACGTGCTCAGCTGAAGTTTGAGGTCAATGGAGTAATAGTCATGAGATGTTTCTCTGCCTGCCAAAGAGCACAATGACATCTCTGGCTCTGCGGCACTGCAGCTTTTCCCTTGCTCTCTGTCACCACCCATACAGCAGCTGTAGAGTCGGAGACTTATGACCTTCCTCTCTGCTTCAAGGCCACTCCTTCCCACCATCACTGCAAGCCTCCTTTCTGTCCCCTCTAGGAAATGGCTTATGCTTTATTTCTAAAGCTTTGAAAATGAAAAAGACATGGTTAGGCCGTACCCAAGTACTAATTTCAATTCAAGACACAAGTCAGAGTATATTACTCAAACGGAAAACAGAATTACAATGGTTCTAGAAGGCACTCCTCATCAGAAAATTAAGATCAGAATCCTACTGAGGGAATTTAAAGTGGAAGGGCAGGAGCTTAAGCATTTCCATGGCTCTGGCAGGCACCTATTCATGTAACAGCACCCACAATGGGTGTCAGGTTGGTCACAGACCTGGGTGAGAGAGGAGGGGGGGTACCAGAGGGGAAAAGCTGTTATGCAATTACCCTTATGCTCATGCTTTTTCTCATAGGATTCTGCCCTCTATGTCTAATGATGGGGAAAATATATATTATCCATAGTTTAAATATAATTGGAAAGAAAAGGGGGGAAAAACATTTTATCACAGTTCGGAGAGAACAGAACATGAAAACAATGAGTTTAAATTTCTGGAAGCTAAATTTGGTTTGGTTAAATGTCAGGAAGAACATCCTATCCAAATGATTAATTTCATAATGAAAGCTGAAGACAAAACGTCTCCAGTGCTATAACGGCATGTCATAACTCAGACGTGTGACCCATGCGGTCTTCTCGACTTGCCTTCATTTGAACTAGAGAGGCAGGCCTTAGCGCTTGAACTGGTCTAGGATACTAATAGTTCAGGATCAGTGACTCCTACCCTGGTGATGCAGCGATTACTTCTTCTCCTTCCTAAAATATTGCAGCAGGCATGACCCCACTTCTGCTCCTCTCAGGAATGTTTAATTTCCAGACAGTGAATAGCCCTATTCTCATAATTTTGAAACTCACTTGTACTTTTTTTTCTAAACTCAGTTGGGTCCCCAAAGACCACCCACTGGGGCAACAATCCACCCTCCAATTAGCATAGGACAACTCATACCATAATCCCTTTCACCCCACCTAGTTCAGAATGAAGCAAAAAAGACCCACACTACAAAGTGGATGGAGGGCAGGGAAAATCTTACTCCGCCCCAAAATGACCAGCTAAGCCAGTACTAAATACAGGCAAAGTGGACAGATGCCAGAAATCCTTTTTAAAAAGTAAAAAAAAATATATGCATGGTGTGGAAGACCCATACTTCTCTCTACTATGCGAATTACAATTCAAGCAGGTATGGAGAATCTTTCTCTCAGAAATGTCCATTGACCTCCAGGAAAAGTCAATGGAAGATTGGGTGCAGCTTATGACAGAAACAAAAATAGTCAAGGGTTCATAGCATTGCATGCTTCTCTCCTGTGCTTGCTCTCTCTCTCTCTCTCTTTTCTCTCTCTCTCCCCTTCTGTGCCACCTCACAATAAATCCACCTTCACCAAGGACTGGATGAAATTAAGATTCTACATTGCAATGTTAAAGAAATGTCTGGTTACAAAAGGCAAAGTTGACAATTTCTATGTGTGTTTGAAGCTTCAATTCCCAATCATAGTCTTTTACCAAAAATATTGAACTCTTACAGTAGTTGCTCTCCTTCTATTTTGTCATCAGACAACATCTTGGTGGTTCTCCTCCGTTCCTGTCAGACAACAATATGCTATTAAGGGTATGGCTACACTAGCAGAAAGTGAACTAGTACTGGACACCAGGGAAAGGTTGAGCTTAATTAGAATGATCTAATCAAGCCTGGCCATACACAAAGAAATGGTTCCTGTCAATATTGTGGAGTGACTTAATAAGTGGACCATTTCAAGACGTTAATCACTTCCCCTGCTTGAGGAAGAGAGAAGTGAAAAATCACTGTATATAAACTATTTTTGATGCACTGCATAAGTTAACAAACAATAAAAAAGATTTTTTTTGAGAAACTGCCTGCATCTAAAGCCACCAGGTGGACTAGTGCTTTACAGCAAAGCAAAGAAACTATCTTTTTTTATAACTGATGTAGTGCATCAGTTATAGCCTGTATATAGTGATTTTTCACTTCCCTGCCCTCTGTTGAGCACAGGAAGTGATTGATTTGCCTTTATGCTGAAGTGGCTTGCTTATTAAACCACTTCACGATATTGACAAATTGAAAGAGGAAGGCTTGCTTTGGATTGGTTCCAGCAATCACATGATCCTACCATTACCAGTAAAGTAGAAGACCCTTGACAGAGGCTAAAAATGAAAGGGTCAGGATTCTGTGGTATGGCTGGATAGCTCAGTGAGTTAGGTCTGCAGAGCCAGAGACTAAGAGTTAAATTCCTCACTGTGCCTCTGGGGAGAAAAGGTGGGTCGTGTGGCCTTGGACAAGCTAAACAGCCCCAGAGCCTACCCCAGAAGAAGAACCACTTCTGAGTGCACTCTACCCAGAAAACCCAAGTTAGAATTGACTTGGCAACATCCAATGATGATGATGAATGCTCAGCGGGCAGACTGGTGTGATCTAGTATGGTGTTGTTCAATTGCCATCTTTAAGAGTGTACCACCCCAGAGGCAGACTGGTGTGATCTAGTAATTGCCATCTTTAAGAGTGTACCACCCCATCTCTGTACTGCTCCAGAGAGCAAGCTAAACAGCCTGTGTGGTCAATCTCTAAACAGCATGTGAAATCCTTCAATAACCAGAAGGATTGTACTTAATCTCACCTCAGACTCTCATATCTTTTTGGTCTTTACTCTCCTTCTCTGGACAAGATGGGAAGTTTCTAAATGTCATGGCTGCTGTTCTTGATCTGACATAAATATGCACATAACCTTCCTGATCATTGCCTTGAAAACTTCTGCTGCAGATGATCTTCCTATAATCTAACTCCAACCCACTTTTTCAATGATTCTCACATAAAGAATTTATTGTCTTCCAACTAATGGGAATTTGACCTAAAATAGTAAAGTGCCCGTGGTACTTTTAGTGTTGTGACAATAAACACCCAAACTTTGTAAAACAAGAGGTTGGAAAAGTTACTTTTGGGATTACAATTTCCCAGATCTCACAGAATTTATAGTGCCCCCCCAAAAAAAGGAAACAGAGGAGTACCCCCCCTTATAATCCAGATACTTCTTCATTTAAATTGCAACTGCTTGGAGTGTTTGGTGTGGAAAGCTAATGCACAGCCTCTCAATTGCCTCTTATTTCTAAATACTACTCCTGCACAGAAAATGGTCAATAGCATTTAGACCAGGATGGAGTAATGCAAGGTAGAGAACTTATGTCCTTCCTGATGTTGTCGAACCCGTGTGCAGGTTCTCTACGAAACATCTCAAATGCAGTCACAGTGTATCCTTGACCAGTGCTTTCTTCATGCAGTCAGAAAACCAGGCTGAAGTTATTAACTTGCATATTTGAATGAAAAAGAAATTAGCACATTGGCTAATATCTCATCTATATAGGTCTGTACCTCTTTCTTTTAAATCTGTAATGTAGGCTTTCATAAATTCCTTTTCAAACAGCTCACGATCACGGTCACTTTCTGTTATTTCTTCAATCTCTTGAAATGAGGTTGTTTCAAGAGGGTTATCCTTGAGGCTTATAAATCTGCAAAAAGAAAAAAAATATTAGCATGGAGGGATTCTATAATGCTTCTCATCACGAGCAGACTGCTGCTTGCTACATGCCCAATGATTGATAACTCCATAAATTTTCTATCCTTCCTACTTTGTTGCAGACCTAAGTCCATTTATTTGTGAGCACAACTTAGCTAGTCTATTTGTGGGCAACTTACCAAAGGTTTTTAATGATAATTTGCTATAATAAATGTCAACTCAGAAATGGCCTCGTAGAAAAACACATGTAAAACACTATGAACATATGCTTAATTACGCAGTCAACAGATTTCCCATCTGGCATGTAAAGATTTTACATTCCACTCCTTTGGTCCATAAATGCCACCTTGTTCGACCACGGTCTGCGATGCACCACTTTACAATAGTTCTGCTTCTATATGAACGCCTGATTCTACAAGGTGATTCTGTGAGACTATTGATCTGATGCAGTACTTGGAAAGTAACTTTTAAAGTTTGTTTTATAAGTTTACAAACTTAAAAAATTAACTAAAAGTTTTTTCCCCATAGAGTATTTGTAATTCAACAAAAAATCTAATATCATTACTCATTACAATAGTTAAAAAGAGTAACTTATCACATTACAGTTTGTGCTCCTCATTATTTTTTCATTATTGTCTTTTACTTTAAAAAAAACTAGATTTGATAAGAGAATGGCACAAAACTTTAAAAAATTCCTCCAGAACATTTCTAGAATGCTTGAATCCAACCTTTGAAAATAACTACAGCTTGTTTGAATCACCAGAATAAAGTGTCATCAGAATGCTTATGCTACTCCATGTTACCTCCGTTTATCACTGAATGCAGATGAGGAAGTAGCTCATTAATGGATTGGATGAGGGCCAACAAAGACGTGATTAAACTCTGTTCATCCACACAGTTTAACCATGCTCAGCCTGCTCACCTGCTCTAAAATGGAGTTGTACTCACCTCAAAAGAGCAGGGTTGTCATCTCAGGAGGTGACAGAACATTGTTCCTGCTATGCCACCTCAGGCTCACATGACTGCCATGAGACAGAGTGTCTGGTAGCAGCTTTGGCCATATATTTATTGATGTGCTAGAACCTTGTGTTACTGCAATGTGCTGTAGATAGGGCTACTTTTGAAGACTATCTAGAAACTTCAGTTAGTGCCAAATAGAGCACTAAGGCTACTCATGGGTAATGGTGATTTTTGAACATATTGCTACATTTTGTGTTAACTGCAATGGCTACCAGTCAGTTTTCAGGTCCAATTCAGAGTTATGACACTGACCTTCAAAGCCATAAATGCCTTAGGACCAGTCTGCCTGAAGGAGAATGTTCTCTCCTATATTCCTGCCAAATAATTAAGAGCAAGTTTGGAGTCTCTTCTCTGAGTGGCGCTGCACAAAATATGCAGAAAAATCTCTGAACAGCACCCTCATCTCATAATGCAACGATCTGCTCATTGGGAAGAGCCTGATGCAGCATACCGATAGTATAGATTCCCTATTTGATCCATATTCTGCCTAGTAATGTAGTTTAATTGCAGCAGTTTGATACCATTTCATAACTGCTGCACCTCCATCTCATGAAGTCCTGGGATTTAGTTTGTCGTAGCAACTGGAATTCTTTGCCAGAGAGCTCTAAGGTCCTCCCTCACACCACAACAGATGATTATACTGTAACTATTTTACCAACGCACAGGTCCCAGAATTCAATTCCATGGCGCCTTGCCAATCAAAATGATAGCAAACTGCTGCAGCTACAGAACTTTGCTAATTAGCATATCTACACACCGTGTACACAGTACAGTGGACCCTCTACCCTTGGAATTAAAACTCAGTAGTAGGCTAAATGATGAGCCATTACAGTAGTGCCTCGCATAACGAGCGCACCGTTTAACAACGAATTTGCATAGTGATCTGTTTTTTGGGATCGCTAATGCGACCGCATACTGATGCTATGGCCAAAAATCGCTTTGCGACAATCGGTAAGCGTTTCACTTACTGATTTTCGCATAGCAATTTTTTTGAAACAGCTGATCGGCGGTTCCAAAATGGCCACCGGATGCCCAAAATGGCCACGCATAGCGTTTTCTCACCCTGCCCTCGCTTACCGAGGGCACGAAAATTGCGGCCAGATGGGGAAACATCGCAGAACAGTGAGTTTTGGGCCCCAATGGGTTTTTCCCGTTCCGTATAGCGATGTTTCCCCACAGCGATGGTTAATCCAGAACAGATTAACCTCGCTATGCGGGGCACCACTGTACTTCACTTGAATGCAAGTACTGTATTTTCTGTAGCACAACAGGCAGCTAAGTTAATTTTGTTACTAAACTGTGGGTAAATGTGCTATCAAGATACAAAAGGAGAGCTCATTTCAACTATCAGATCAGTAATGTAACTGATCTTCTCTCTTCACATCCCGTACATTATAAAGGGATGTTCAGGAGGCCCTATCAATGCCATAAACTCCTTAAGTGGCTATCACTGGGGGCCAACACATCTAGGCAATGGCTTTGAAAAACAGTTAGCTTTGAAGAGTTGATTTGGGTAGGGTTTCTTCCACCCGGATTGTAACCTGACGTGCTCCTCAGCTTTTTGGTTCCCATCCTCAGCACCTTTTGAGCTCTAAAATATTATTTTTCTATTATGACAACCACAATTATAGAGAATGCACAAAGTGTTGCTGAACCAGAGATATTGGCAGTTTCATGTTTGGACTTTTTCATAATGATCCCTAACATGGGATTTGCATTCTTCACAGCTGCCATAGACTAAATCAAGGTTTCCACCTAATTGTCAACATTGACAAATACCTCTTTTCCTAGTCACTGCCAGACCCGATTCCACCATTTTAATACTCGTTCATTCAGTCTGTATGTGTGTTACATGCTATCAAGTCAGAAGTGACTTATAGCAATCCAAATGAGGCTTTCAAGGTACTGTAAGTGAGATGTTGGAGTGATTTTACCAGTTCAGCCTCATCTCACTCCAAGTATCCATGACGGAGTTCGAGATGTGAACCCTGTTTTCCAGAGGTCTAATCTGTCACTCCATCCACTACACCAAACTGGGAATCACCCAATCTTTTGGTGTTCTCTAATCCTTTACTACTGTTCTTTTTATCATCTTTTGTTATAAAAATAACAGGACATCAAGCATGCTTAGGGGGGAAAACTGTAAATGATATTAAAATCAAAAATGATATAGCTTATCTAAAGGGAGGGAACAAGAGTGACAAAGAGTTGTATTAGGAGTCATCTGAAGAAAGTTCAGAACCAGATCCCATTTACTACAGAATCTTAAATGAATTGATTGAGGAAAAGTGTGGAGCAGAAAGGTAGAAGCACAAATATTCTTTTCAGTTGCTATTTACTTCAACCCTGTTGTGGAATCACAAACAGCTGAAGGCATCTCAACCAAATGATTACTGCTGACAACCAGTAATTTCAGTTTTGACATTTGGGCCAATGCTTGTGGAAGATAGGTCAGCTTGTTTTTCTGCAGGAGAAGAGTCTGCAATTCTTCTAGCCTTAAGAGAGTAAGAGAACAACACAGTTAAGTTTGCCATACAATAAGCTAAAGTTGCTATATTACTGAAAAACCAAACTATATTACAAAATATATTACAGAATATATTACTGAAAAACACATAAGGCCATTTCCATTTGCAAAGTTGCAAGGGACCGTTGTTTGCTCATACTCAGAGGGGATCCTCTGACCATTCAATTTGCCTTCTTTGCCTGGCTGGGTTATGTCCAGGAGGTCAGTGCACTAAAGGTTGGGAAAAGCCTCCTATGGGCCCATGCCTTTCTTAGGCCATTCTGAGTCTCCTACTCCTGGTGCTCAAAGAATAAATGAACACAAGCACGTTGTTGCTCCTGGTTGCAACCAACTCTGCACAGAAATTAAAGTAACCCAAAATACTTCAAACTCTCAGAGCATCCTCAGACATAGGGAAAAGTGCCTTCAACCCCCTTCAGTTGTCTAAACAAACCACAGCTTGGACAAAATTTTATATTTTATGAAAAGCAAAAGTTGCAAGGCATAAGACAAAAGTTCCAATAATTCAGCAGTGATTACAAAATCCATTACTTGGTAGCAAAAGCAGACTTCACAGAGCTCAAGGTATAATAAAGTGATCCCCACAGAAAATTAAGAAAAGTTAACTCTCTAATCTATACCTACAAGCATGTATAGAGTTCTTCATAGCAGGTAGCATGAGCTGGCTAAATCATGGTGATGATCCATGATGGAGGATAAAACTAAATGAATTAATCATCTTCCTTAAATCCCATCATCCCACAGTTCACTGTTGTAAGAGTCCACCAATCAGCAGGCAGATTTTAATTGGCTTCAGCTGTACCAGCCAAGGCAAATTAAGAAGTTCCAGGTGCATCTTTGCCTGATCTACAAAACTACCACCCATACCAAGGTCAGGATGTTCTCTCCAACTTGCTTAACTGAGGATGGTGTATTGGCATTGCACTTCTCCCAAAACATTTATGCCTAGGCTGGCCAGCAAGAGCATTTTACAGATTTAACCCACTTTATGTTAACCCTTTGACCACCTTACAGATGTTACCACCCTGGTGTAAACTCCATAGGTCACACAAGCCAACAGAATTTGATCCTTTCTCTACTATTCTTTTTCTCACTGTGTTGGGGAGGTGGTTCCCTAATCTTGGTTCCAAATTTCCTCAAGGTCCACAGCTCCCATCATGAGACTGTCCTGGTGTTCAGATCTTCAGGAGAGGCCTTTCTCTTGGTTCTACTACCTTCACAGGTGCATTTGCTGGGAACACAGGAGAGGGTTTTCTCTGTTGCTGCTCCCTGACTTTGGAACTCCCTCCCACAGGAGGTTAGGCTGTTACCATCTTTGCTGTTCTTGCACAAGCAAGCAAAGACATTTCTCTTCAGGCAAGCTTTCCCTGAGTGACTGGCTGCCTGAGTGGGTTTTTTAAATGGATGGTTATACTGCACTGCCTTTAATGTATTTTGCTTTTGTTTACTGTTTTTCAGTGTACTATTTGTTTGATCCTTTTTAGTATTTGTAGACTTACTGTTTTTAGCTTCAAATATTCTCTTTTAATGATGTAACACACCTTGGGTCCTTTTTAAGGAGAAAGGCATGATAAAATGGAAGGAAGGAAGGAAGGAAGTGCAATAACATACAATGCAAAGTTAGGACACAAGCTTTGAAGTGGTGTCACTAAGTGTGAGTACTAGTGGGGGGGTTAAACCTGCTCCCACCTGCTTCTTTGTTTTTATTTTGCTAAATTCCTCACTCCCATTCATGCCACTATAGTGGTGATTTTAGTTCTCATGAAGAGAGACAAATGGAAGAGAAGCAGCTGCAAGATAATTGAGCCTGCCCCCACCTGCAAAGGAACAGACATGAGCTTATCCCCCATATGATTACTTCAGAGAAAACAATGCTCAGCTGCACAGCATGTAGTTTAGTCCAGAAATTCATAGAAAGACAATGAACAGAGTTGCATTGCCTCCCAATCCATTGTTCATGAATGGTTTCTGATATAATCACAACCCTCTGAGGACAGGAAGATGCATAGCATCAAAACTCAACGTGAGCAAAAGAGAGACTCAATACATAGTCTCTCTGTTCAGATAGCAGCTAATGTATTTGCAATGGCTGGAAAAGCTTGTTAAAAAGCCATGTTCTTTCTTTTTCCCTCATTATACAGGCAACATAGAGGCACACCTCACATTTGTTTTCCACAGGGATGTATTCTCGAAGGCTTTTACAGCCTGGACCCAATGGTTGTTGTAGGTTTTTCAGGCTGTTTGGCCGTGTTAGTTCCTAACGTTTCACCAGTCTCTGTGGTCAGCATCTTCAGAAGATAGGAGTTAGAACTCTGTCTGTGTTCTGGTGTAGTGTGTGAGATAGTTGAGTATTTGCAGTGTGGGATTTTTTTTATTATTTCAATCACCCATTCTTCTGAAAAGGACAAAAAACTGATCCCACAGCTACAAATACTCCACTATCCCATACACTACACCAGAACACAGACAGAGTTATAACTCCTGTCCTGTGAAGATGCCAGCCACAGAGACTGATGAAACATTAGGAAGAAAAACCTTCAGAACATGGTAAGACAGCCTGAAAAACTAACAACCATTTCCACAGGGACATTTACAATAGGGGATTGAATGATACTGTTGAGACTGAATATTGTATGTTTTAGTAATATTAGCACACCAAATGCAGTCCAATCTTGTTGCTTATTAATAAATAACACTAGAGTAGGCCCATTGAATCAATGAAAATTTAGTGAGTCAGCTCCTCCATAGGTTTCATTGATTCGACTGGTTCTAATCGATGCTAAAGTACATTGCAGTTATATTCAATGGGCTTACTCTAGTGCAATTTATTATGCTAAGCAGCAGCATTTTGGCCAACATTTACAAAATCCAGTTTAATACAACCATTGCATCTCTCTAAGTTGCCTACTATCTCCCACCCTCAAATTTCAGAATTGGCATGTATCACCATGATGGTGGTAATTAACCTTATTCACAAGCTGACTTCCTTATATGTTGAAACACATGCAAATCTGTGAAGATCTTGAGTTTATAGCACTATGTGCACACAGCATTATGAGCACGGTGGGAACACAGCATTATATCCTGGCCACTCTGGTGACTAAGATACAACAAACAGTCCACATTGTTATTAATTTTTACAAACTAGGCAGCATATGCAAATTAGCTACCATCTATCTCCAGCTGATTGGCTGGAACTGTTTTGCAAATCTCAGGTGTCATGGCTGCCATGGCAGACAACAAGCCAAATTACATCCAAATCAACACTATTTTTATTTATTTATTTATTTACAATATTTCTCCTTAAAGGTCTCATACATCATTAAAAGGACAGTATTTAAAAGCTATAAACAGTAAGTGTACAAATATTTTAAAACAAGTATCATATTAAAAATGGTAAATAAAATCAATACTAAAAAAAATGTAAAAGCAACAGGGCACAGCAATCTAATTTGAAAAGCTCCTCTCAGACTCTCAGTCACTAAGGAAAAGCCTATCTGAAGAAAAATGTCATTGACTGCTTGCAGAAGGACAGCAAAAATGAGACCAGCCTGGGTTCCCATGGGAAGGAATTCCAGAGTCTGGGAGCAGCAACAGAGAAGGCCCTTTCCTATGTCTCCTCCAAGCACCGCTGTGAGAGTGGCGAGACCAAGAGAAAGGCCTCCCCTGATGAATTAATGCCCAGGCAGACTCATAGAGGGAGATGCAGTCTTTGGGATAGATTGGACCCAAGCCATTTAGGGCTTTACAGGTTAAAACCAGCACTTAGAATTGTGTTCGGAAACAGAATTGGCAGCCAGTGGAGTTGCTGTAACATAGGAGTTATATGCTCCCTGTAACCAGCCCCAGTAAACAATCTGGTTGCAGCAGTTTAGACCCTCTACTTGCACATGTAGACAATCAAGTCAAGGAAGCGCTTTATTTGCAAAAACAAAATGTCATTCAAAAACAATACAAAGAATTACCTGTCCATATCTTGTGGTAGATCTTTGAGGTTATTGCTGCTCAAATCTAACCACAGCAAATTTGGCATCCGGAGCACACATATTGGAACTGAGGGGAATTTGTTTGCTGATATATCTACAAATGTAACTTGTTTCAAGTTGCTTAACTGCAAATAACACCAACAATAACAATAAGAATAACAATAATTTATATGTTGTGTTACAAGGAATTCAGTGAAGAAAACATGCATTTAATTATGGTAGCTGGAGTTCCTTCAGAGTGAATCAAGTGATGTTATATCTAATAATAAAAATAATATCATCATAATTATCATTATCTTAAAACTGCAGAGCTGGAAGGGACCCTACAGATCACTGAGGCCAGATGAAAGAGGCACAGTGGGAAATATAGATGGGCATGAATCCAAAAAGCAGCGTGATGGTCTGTGGTTCATCACTATTCAGGAGTCACAAACCATGAACTTTCCAACAAAATGAACCATTTTGTGGTTTGTGCAATTTGTGAATCTCAGGAGCATTAGAATCCCCCATCCCCCAGTTAGAAATGCCAAACTCAAGAGATTCTTCGGCAGACTCTCTTCCCCACCCCTTACAAGTCTGGCAAAGACTGGATTTTCGATGTCTAAGTTATAGCCCCCCAAATCAGGTTCCCCCCAGAAAAGTGTTTAGGAACTTGCTTGGGAGAAATTAAATGAGTGGTTCACACAAGGAACTTGAGACAGGGTGCTGCTCATCATGAGGTGGACAGAGGAAAGAACAAAAAGGGGGCAGACATGAGCTATGGAATCAGTTCTTCTCACTGAAACCAGGTAGGATGGTCCTGGTGACACAAAAAGCCGACCCAAGCAAGCCTTCAAATATAAAATTTCTTCTCATGCCAGCTGCTGCAAACCTGAAACCACCAGTTGAGCTGTGCAGGGTGTGGCTCCTATAATAGTTCAGCATTTTACTTCATTCAGGGCAGGTGTGTTTCCCCAAAGCACCCGGGAATGAACCACAAAACAGTCTGATTCATGGGGTTCATTTACTTCACGGTTCATTTTTTGCCCATCTCTGGTGGGGAATCAAACCTCCACCTCTGGTTACCTAAATCACTGAGCTATCCAGCATGCTCATCCCAGCTCCTTCTTTCTATATCCCACAACAAATGCATTCTTGTTTTCATTTGTTCCATGGGATATGTAGCTTACTTCAGGCAAGTTATTCTCTTTCAAGAGTATCCCATTTCTTTGGAGTTGAACTCTCGGTATCATACTGCTTTTAAGCAACACTGATACCCCCTCAGTTAGCAAAAGATGACAAGTAGCGCAACTTGATAATTGTTCCAATTTATGGCTATTTCTAGGCTATTTCGAGAATTATTTTACATCTTCAGTGGGTTTTGACAGTAGGGAGCCCAAAATGTGATGGAGAGGGCACCACACCGAATTTGGGAGTCAGGTGCCCACAGAACACAGGCTGGCCTTGGTAAATGCTACTCATTCATGGAGGAAGGGAAGTGGTCAATTACCTTCATTTTATTTTAACCTCATTTTTCTCCCAACGGAAGGACACAAGGGAGCTTACAAAATTATTAAAAGAGAAATAGTACTAAAAACATGATAAGCATGAAATTGGGGTCTTAGAGCAGATATTCCATCTCTATCTCATTTGTTCTGAAACAACTTGGGTTTTACGAATATTTGTGTTTAAACTTCCCTTGAAAAGCTACATCTCTCCTCTTTAACAAAAACACTTCTTTTAAAGAAATCTTCAAGAAATCTATTCTGTGCTGGAGCTGCCTTCTTTTTAAAGGGTTCATTGAGAGTATCAACTGCAAATGTGAAGCACTACTGTAACTTCCATCCAGTTACAAAGCATTACTAAAAGTAAATCTTGCTATTAATGGGATTAAAAGGAGCAGAAAGTCACAGGGGAAAAGTACTATATAAAACAAGATAAGGGGGATGTTGTATGAACAGCAAGAAAAATACTAAAAGCATCAGTACAGAGCAGAATATTTGAGAGCCCATCAATTAATTGTGACCAAATATTAACTTGCAATGATTCATGGTGGCTCTATGATCTCAACTCTCACACAGTCTAGACATATTTTTTTAATGGGAAGGGAATATCAGTGGGAAAATGGCATGGTCTCCACCCAAATTTTAACCCTTAAAAATCAGAGTTAGAGAAAGCATTCCAGGCTATCAAAAAGCAAAAGCAGGCATAACCACGTGGACACAAAACAAGTTCCAAAGTCCATACCCAAATAACAATTTTATAGGCCTGCCAAAAAGGCCCAACATTGTGCAGGTTTGTTTTGTTGTTGTTGTTGTTGTTGTCTGCATGTTACAAGATGCAGACAAAATGGGTGAAAAATATGTTAGATTTCACTAGGCCCAACATTGTGCAGGTTTTTTTGTTGTCTGCATGTTGTTACAAGATGCAGACAAAAAATGGGTGAAAAATATGTTAGATTTCACAAGGGGGTAGCACATAAGCCCCATGCAGGCATTCTTCAACAAGCTTAGTAGGAGTCCAATAAATAAATAAAATAAGCCCTATGCAGGCATTCTTCAACAAGCTTAGTAGGAAGTGCTTAGCATACTCCCTTCAGTATTGCATTTTTCATGGTTATAGTGCTCAATCTGAAGAGAAGAGGTTAGTACTCACATGCAGGCTCTCAGACAACTGAATGTGGAATTTCTGGGTCTGTGCTCACATGTAGAATCTACCTATGACCATGACTATTCCATTGATCTAACCATGAAGAATGCAGCAATGAAGGACAGCAGAGTTCATGACTTGCCTCTAAGCACATGCAAAGTAAAGGGTTGAAGAATGCCTAAGTAGGGCTATAAATACAGTGAGAACTGGATAGTTAGAAATATTTGGTTCCCACACACACACACGTCTTAGACAATGCCTGGTTAATTCATATTATTGGGAGCAATAATGTAATCAATGGAAGGAGAGGAAACTGAAATGCACAAAGTAGAAACATAGGTCACTCCTTGACTAAGGTCATTAACAAATAGTCGTTGGGTGGTAGCACAGAAACCACGGTACAGAGATGCTAATTAACCATGTACAGTAATGACATGTTGAAAAGGACAAATAAATATAAACTAGTTATAATAAATAAATAATCTGTATCTTTTCAAGAAATCACACCTTGGTTTTTTTCCAGAAATATGTGCTGTGTGCCTTCACTCTCCTCTACATTTTACTCTGCAAATCAGATGGCATTGTGACCCTTGTGGGGGCTTCTTGTGGCATTTTCACCGATCTGCATTGTTTTGTCAATAGTAAAAAAAGAACTGATGACAAAAAAACCCTACAGTGATCCAGTGAGAACACCTCTTATTACTTACACCAGCAAGGTATGCATCAGCTTCTCTTGATTCCTCATCTTCAATAGTAATGCTTAGAAAGCTCAACTTGGCACAGGGAGAACCAAGATTGCTGTTCCATAAGAAAAAAATATTGGCCAGAAAGGACCATCAAGGAAAATATACTATCAAGGTTTTTTGTGAAATGCAACTGGCTCTCTATGATTAATGCTTATTGTATAAGTGGTGCTAAGGCTCTAAAATAGCAGTAGAAAAACAGTGCAATTATTAATCAGTTTGAATCAAGATGGTGCCAGTGGCAGGTGGGTAGTGATTTCTCTGCCACCACCCCAGCTTACTTCCCTCATTTTTTCCCTTTTTCTTGCACATTTTAGTTATTTGTTAGTTTTATCTCTCTTTTTCTAAATTGCCTCTCTCCCTACCTGACCTGAGACACTGTGGACTGAGCTGTGCAGGAGCACATGAAGTGGGTTGAGCGGACGGAGCCAGGTGGAGTTGGGGCTCGTAACGCGGGGGTTGTTTGAAAACTGATCAGTGGAGCTCGGAGGCTCCTGGCTTGTTCTGAGAGGCCCCTTGACAAAGCGGAGACCACTGGAAGGGCGCTGGTGCTGGGTCAGCCGAGAGGAGCTGCCGAGAGTTGCCAAGAGGAGCCTGAACGCCGTGCCATGTTGAACACCCAGAGGTGAGCAGGCAAGCGAGAGAGCAAACGAGTGAGCGAGCGACTGGCAAGCTATGCACGGTGGGTGACGAGACAGTGGCCAGTGGACAGGGGCTAGAACTCAATGCGGGCTTCGGTGGCTGCTGGAGTTCGGAAGCCCCCGTCTAACTTGGGGAACATCGCTGGAGCGGGGACTGGCAGCTGGTAAGAGCTTCAAGAGAACAGCCTCCCTGGAAAGGCAAGTCTGGAGTCCTCCGGAGCTGCTCTGGGTTCCATGAGGCTTTGAGGGATTTTAGAAGCGTGGGAGCACCTGGTGAAGTTGAGCAGCTGCTTTTCCGGGCTCCAGGAGTAAAAGAGAGCTGAAGAGCTGAAGTGGCAGTGGGGGAGCGAGAACTATCCGTCTTGAATTTTAGGCTGCCTGCCCTGGAGATTGTCATGCTTGGAGATTAGTTAGTAATCTCCCTCCCAGGACCTCTTCCCCCCGCTTGCTCCTTTAGGGAAATTGATGACTTTCTAACAGCTTCCTGAGGGAGGAAAATGGTGGTGCAAACCTCACCTCCTGCCTGGACCCTGCTGCTGCTGCTGCTGCTGCCACCACCTCCTTTTGCTGACTCCTGCACCCTTACTGAGATCTTTGGGGCTTTGGGGTCCCCTGACAACAAGACTCATATTTTAACATTTCTAACAACATCAAGAGCACCTGGCTTAATAGCATCAACTATATCTAATAGGACAATAACACCTTCAAGGACAAAATTTGATGGTAGAGCAGGATAGACCAAGGCCACATGTGGGGGATAAATTTCGTGCGGGTTTTTTTTATGACTATATTATTATATGTATTTTATTTTATAATTGGAATGTTTCATTTGCTATTTATTTGATTGTATTAATTTAGTGTATTTTTCTTTTTTCTTTTTCTCTTTCTTTTCCTCCCCCCCCCTTTCCCTGTTATGGAAAAGAAGGCCTGCTTCCCCAGCGAGGGGCCTCAAAACATCTCAGTGATCATGGGTAGAGGGAGATATGGCGTTGACACAGCCTCCGCTCGTGTTAGAAGAACAGTGAACAGATGTTTAAGGGCTGTGCACCGTTCTGAGGCTGTGGTCAACCATCAGTATCGAGGTAGCCAGCCCAGCCAGCCCTCCACTCTAAA